GTTTTCCTTTTATTTGACATTTTTTGGGTTCGAGATATCTCCTAACATAGATTTGCAAAAAACTTCAAATGTTATATGATTCAAATACTTTTTCATATTTTATATACATAAAAAGTTGGGAAAGTAAAACGGAGTCAGAGTCGGGGGGATTTTTGACGACTCTGACTAAAACAGCAAAATTACTAATCATTGAATCAGCACGTTTAATCAAACATCTGAAATTTTGATCTATAATCAATGATTTGTCATCAGTATTTTACCAAATGTGATTTTATTGTACTTTTTTTAAATGTGGTAGCATCAATTCCATAATTATTTAAATTACAACAAGCTAATGAGGAACTTGAGGTCCAAAATGCATTCTTTTTGAAAAAATAAAGTGATTTTCTAAGGCTGGTCTTGTGTTCAGTGATGGTGTGATAAGTCTAGCAATAAAGAAGGCCAACATAGTGCTCACAAATATATACAAAAAATAGACAAGAAGCATATCATAGAAACAAATTAAATTTTTATAAACTTTAATATCATCTCCTTTTCTTATTCTTTTAATGAACAACAGGAAAACTTGCACAAAGAAAAGAAAATAGAAGACTGAAAAAATTGAATGAAAATGAGAAATGCAGAATTTCCAAAATTATACTGTAATAATAGGAAGTAATGATTTGTTACTGGTATATTTTTTTAATATCGATAAAAAAAACCTTCAACTAGACAGTATTAAATATGCTTTATGCTAAATTATTAAAATATTTGTAACTTAAATAAACAGTATACTTATAAAATATATATAGCCAAAGGAAATGTCAATTGAATATTTAAAGAAATTTTAATAAATTTGTTGTTTATTCATATTTGGATTCTGTTAATAATTATTATAAATGCTTGTTTGAAGTGCATTATTATTTTATTGTGAAAATACACACACATATATATTTCTACATTTAAATATGTACATATAAACATCTAAAAGTTTTTGTAAGAAGCCAAACAATTTCCAGATTCATTGGGCTACTTTACCACAATTACTTTTTTCTTCTAGAATATTCTAAATTATTTATTAAATATTAATTTAATTATAATTATTAAATTTCGCAAGAGATGGTGCCTAATGCCTATCTCTAGTTCCAAATTATTCAGTATTTAATTATTGACAGTAGCAGTAAAGTAGCCCAATTAATTGTTTGGTTTATTTAAATATGTTTTTTGTACTATGTTTCTTTTATTTATACAGTATATTTTAACTGTTTTTAATAAATTTTCATTATAATTTCAATTTAAAATATTTCTATGATTTTTAATATTTCATAATAAGATAATAAATTTATCAAATAAAAAACCACATACTGTAATCACAGATAATCATCAATTGGCTAATTTTATCAGAATCGTCTTGTCCAAAACACTAGTTAAAATATACAGTGGTTTCTCATTATATTGCATAAGTTAGGAGGAAAACCAAATGAGTGATAAGTCAGATGATGCAATATAATCAATGTGCATATCCACTTGTTACGTCTATTTTCAATCTCCATCCAGACTTGGTTTGTGGGTTGTATTTTGTATAGTAGTTTCAAGGTCAATTAATGGAATAAAGTAATATTCCTTTGCCATTAGAAATTCAATGGCAACTGATTTTTTAAAAATTATTGGCTAAAGCACTTATATTTGAAAATAAAAGAAAACAAAACAACAAGATACAGCCAAATGAATGATGTAACAAAGGACTACTGCAGTTATAATATTTCAACAGAATTTCAATACTTCGTAATAATATTACTTTATTCTAATCAGAATTTGGTTATAGTTATCATTATCTTTGGTTGAATAAACATTTCTAAACTGGCATTTCATGCTAGTAGCTTCAATATGGGTGATAATGTGCAATTATCATCAGTTATTGTTAAAAGTTTTAGACATTGCTTTAAATATTAAACATTAAGCATCTTAATTATTGTTTGTTTGTTCACTTTACATTTATTTAAATTGCTAGAATTCTTTGCTTTAATTACATGCTAGATACATTAATATTAAAAATGGATAACTTGAAAATTTATTACAGTTTTAAAACATGTCCTTTTAATGCCAATCAGTAAAATCAAAATTTCCATTAACTGTACTCTTATTTTCTTATCTTACTTAATGTTATTGGTCAATTATTGTTATTAATATTATTTAAATCTAAAAGTGATTACGATAAGTAGCCTTTTCCCAACCATCTAGCAGAGAAATTTACTTATTAAATCAAACTAGTTAACTCAAATTAGATTTGGATACAGTATTTTCATAAAATCTCCAGAATTTTAATTTAAATAAAATAATGAACTTTTTGGCTATTTGGGCAGACTTACTGCACCACAATTTTTTGAGAAATTTTTACTTGGTTTTTTTCTTTTCTATTTTTTATTAGACTTTTGATGTGCATTTTGGGTTTTTTCTACCCCTCTTCAGTTGGAGTTTACAATTTTATCTAATAAATTTTACATAATTAAGATTTTATTTTATTTATAAGAGAATATGTTTAATTGAATAAAGATATGCTTACAACATTTCTTTTTATTTGTTTCCTATAAACATTCAGTTCCTAATATCAGTTTAAAGAGAGAGTCTGAATTTTGCTGTGTAGGTTGCTGATAAGTCCCTCAATGACTGACAGCTTATGAGTCAATGATTCTGGAGCTCACTTTGTCTAGTGAAATTGCAGATCAGGTAAGAACTTGGGATTAGTTGAGATGTTTGTCCACAATCAGCTGCTTGGGAAGCAAAATACAGGAAACAAATATTCCAATTAATCTATCTTTGTCTCCAGGTGACTATTTGACCTCTTGAACCATGGTTGAAATCAACATAAACATTAAATTTAATGCATTCCTGATGCCAATTGGATAGTATTTGTGAGGGACGAACAGACCCACAATAAAGTGTTATTTTAAATTTTAATTATTGGGAAATTCAATCATCTAAATTCGAGCGTTTTATCAAAATAGGCTAAAAGCCATAAAAATTATTTCCCATGGAGTTGAGGAGGATCCAGCTAGTCAGTGATGTGTCACCCGGAACTTTTGACAGAGTGCCCATATTGGAAGCCAAAACCTTAACAACAACCTCCTGGGAAAANCCCAAAATGCACATATTTGAGATCAAAAGTCTAATAAAAAATAAAAAAAACCAGTAAAAATTCCTCAGAAAATTGTGATGTGATAAGTCTCCCCAAACAGCCAAAAAGTAGCTATAAAATAATAAAACAACAAGGGAAAAAAGGGCAAGATTTATGAATGAGGAATAAAAGTAATTAACATTCACCTGTCAAATAAACTAATCAGAAACTTTCTATAAAGTGCAAGAACCATATACAACTAAAAATAAATATTGTGTCATGTAATGGTGGGTGAGGGTAGTGGCTTCCAGACAGTGTGTATATGACTATAAACCATAACTGCCATTCAAACTACCTTTTTTCAAACATGCTTTTTTGTTTTATTTGATTGCTGATGAATTTCTCTGACTAGATGATATAATAAATAAATGGATTTTTGATAAATTAATTTTAAAAAATTATTAGAATATAATTCTATGTAAAGATTTCAACCTTTATGACAAAATTTTAAAAATATAACAATCGTAAAGAGTGTTTGTGATAAAAAGTAAAGAAACAGAATGATTCTATGCACAAAATATCACAATTTAAAAAATTTCTTATTAAACACTTAAAAGTGTACAGATCAACTAGTTGGGAAAGCATTTCTTAGTAGCTTATTTAATAATTGTTAAGTGTTTTTTTTGTGTTTCTGGACAACACTGAGAGGTTCACATTGACACAATGATTCTATATGATAAGACCCATGGAAATACTGTGTGAATACTGTATTTACTCGCATATAAGACGAGGTTTTTATTCATTTTTCACTGCTTCAATAATCTATGTCATCCTATATGCGTGAATGAAGAATTCATTTTGTTTTTGCAATAATTTTTGTAAACTGTGTATTCACATTTTTACTGGATTCTTACCTAATGGTGTTTAAAAACAAAAGTATTTTATCTGGGTCATTTGAATCATTCTTGTGTATTATCAGGAGTAAAGATGAATAGCAATAGGAAAAGCATTAAATTGCATTCCATGAATTGCATGAAAAGCATTGAATTGAATTCCAAACTTACACAGGAGCCCAATATAAGTTTTAATTCATTTCCACGTAAACACAATTTGTGATTAAACAAAATAAAATTGGAATTGTATTAAAATATCTAATTTTCTTTATTTTGATCTTTAAAGTCACACCTCGTCATACACGCAAGGTCATCTTATATCTGAATATGGAAATAAATGTGGTAGTTTATTATGGTCAATCTTTGAAACCAATGAACCAATGAACAAAATCTTGATTTTTAGTCAAACCTCCATAATTCAAAATTTTTAAACTAAAAGTCCAAATTACCCCCTCAACCAATTTGAGTTTCAATGTAGTTTTATAAAAGTTTATACAGTAGATCATCGATTATCTGAATATTGATCAACTGAAATGTCAATTAACCAAAAGCTTTCCAGTCAGCAAATTTAAATTTCCGCTAGTGCTGTGGTACTGCAATCTTTGGCTTTGTCTTGGGCTACTTCAATATTACTTTTGTTGGTGTGCATGTTTTAGCTGGCAGCACTAATGTGACCATGAGAGGGTACCCAAGGACATGCCAGGATTTGAACAAGTTTCAACATAGTATAGGTTAATATATTTTTTCGTATTTTTGTTCTATAAACGCAATATAGAACAAATGTAGAAAATACAACATGGTTACAAAACATGGTAGAATATTTTTTTGTACATAATCGGTTATCTGAAAATTGATTTTCTGAATAACCCCAGTCCACAATTGATTCAGATAATTGATGCTCTACTATATTATTAAAATATAAAATTCTTCCAACATGATGTTCATTATTGTATGGTGTTTTAAACTAATATTTAAGAATAAATTTAACTTTATATATGAATTAAAATACACACACTACTTTCACATCACTTGCTATTGATGCAGAATCACTGATAATGTCTAAAATGCCAGCCAACGAGGTTGGATTAACTTGAGATTCAGTTTCAGGATCTAAACTTGCTAGAAGGATAAGAAAATCATCTTGACCCATGCCAACATGGAGATGTTCTAACAACATTTGAACAAATGGATCAGATGAATTGGAGAGATCATCATTTGCTCCATTCAGTATCTGAAATGCATAGAATATTTTAAGCATCTTTTACAGGAATTTACTTACATAAAATTTAATTTACTGGAAAAAAGGAAATTATTATTTTAGATAATTTTTAACTGATTACACTAGTATAAGGTGCGTTTCAAATTTATACGGACACAAAAAAATTAAAGTAAAACCCAAATTTGCTGCATTGTCATTAAGTGACAAATGTTTTATTAAAAATAGCATGAATTTACATGTTTCCACACTGCAAAATAAGAATTTTAATCAAACATTAACATTTTGTCACTGAAAATAATATTTTTGAAAATTTTGTACAAAAAAACTGTTACATATTTATCCGGACAGGTTTCAAATTGCAAAGTTTTCTTACAATTTAATGACCAATGTAACCACCATTTAAATTAATTACATTAAATACTCGATTAGGCATTGTTTCAATTAGATACTGAAGGAATTCAATCTTAAGTTTATCCCAAGTATCTGAAATTGCTGCCTTCGAATCATGAATTGTGGGAAAACTGCTTTCCATGGGCATAAACTGTACGAACCATCATCCCCCAAAGATTTTCCATCGGATTCAGATCTGGGCTTCTAGCAGGCCATGTCATCAGATTAATATTTTTACGTTTAAACCACATTTTTGTTGATTTAGAGGCATGCACAGGGGCATTGTCTTGTTGAAAGATCCAATTTGGTCCAGATTCCAATAAATGATCTTCAAGCATGCCTCGATACTTCTTTCAATTCATTCTATGAGTTATAAATGCTAAATCTGCGGTTCCATTGAATCAAAATGCACCCCACACCATTATTGATTCCCCAACTATTTGACGCTTTTAAAATATTTGTTTTTCAGTTCTTAAGTGCCAATAATACTTCCAACCGTCTGGACCATCTAAATTGAATTTTTTTCATCACTGAACAAAACTTCAATCCATTCTTTGGACCATGTCATGTGTTTTTGTGCCCAATCAAGTTTGTCACTTTTGTGCTTTGATGAAAGTGGTGACATTACAGCTTTTTTTCTCTGAATTTTAACATTGGAGATTTATTTAAAACTCTCCACACTGTTGTGCTGTTACAAGGCAAGTCTAATTCTTGTTTTATTTTTCTTACTAATGTTTGTTTTGTAGAGAAAACCTTAATGATTTGTCTATAATCTTCAGGTGTAAACTTGGGTTCTGGGCCTGTCTTGTTTTGATAAATAATCACCAACAGTTGATTTTGGACAATATATATATGTGGCAACTTCTCTCATTAACTTGCCTTGTGATTTATTGGTATCAATCTGCCCTTTTTCATAATCATATAAATTCTTTGTTCTACCCATTTTAGAACTTTGAACAACATAAAGAATTTGTATTACAATTAGATATGTAAGCTAATTTGTATATTTCAATGCTTGAAACTAAACAATATTCTATTTAACTCATGAAATGAGTGCCTGTCCGGATAAATATGTAACAGTTTTTTTGTACAAAATTTTCAAAAATATTATTTTCAGTGACAAAATGTTAATGTTTGATTAAAATTCTTATTTTGCAGTGTGGAAACATGTAAATCCATGCTATTTTTAGTAAAACATTTGTCACTTAATGCAGCAAATTTGGGTTTCACTTTAATTTTTTGTGTCCGTATAAATTTGAAACGCACCTTACATCATTTAAAATGTCTTCAAACAGATCACGTCATGCAACTTTGAAATGAAAAAGTATTCTATATGAGAAGAACTCAGAATTAATGGAAATAGTGCTCCAAAGTTTAAATATACAGTAAATATTTTTTGTATTCATTTATTTTAATTTTTCTGCTTTGTTATTGACATTCAAAATAAAAGTTGTAGATAATTCTATAAATAACTTTATAAATTAATGTTATTGAAGATTAATAAAAAATTTTATGTACTTTTGATTTTAAATTGATAGAGCATTGTACAATCAATAACAACATAACTAATTCAAACTTTTTTTGTATTTTAATGTATATTCATTAGATTTTAATCATAACTTATTTTTTAAAATGTCATATATTAATATTTATATAGGAATTTAAATTATTTAAATACTCTTCTACATAAATATTCTGTTTCCAATAAATATAGAAATGATTTAAATTTCTCTTTATATTAAGTACATATAGTCATTATTTATGAATTAAATAAAAATAAGACGCAAGATAAAATACCTGTTCAATAGGTGAAAGAGGTAATTCTGGTCTCAAAATATTCATAACTTCTTTTAAATCTTCACTGACAACAAGTGCAAAACTTTTCATGTCATCTTCAAAATTATTTTTTGCATATTTTTTCCATCTATCATCATTGATTAAAAGACCAAGTATAAATCTGCGACATACAGTTATGACTTTTCTGGCCTTTCTAAGAGAAACAGCATTCTACAGATAGTAAAAAATTAAATTCATTTTATAAGAAAGTTTGATGAAAAGAAAATAATTCAAAATTTTTTACTTAAAAATAATATAAACATAGGAAAAATTAAGGAAAATAATCTAAAAGCATTTATATAAAATGTTTTCATGTAATATTTTAAAAAAATATGAGTATTCCTATATTACTTAAAAGTAAAAATAATACTTTATTATAAAATATTTTTCTCTTAAATATTTTACGACAAATTTAATCATTTTCTTGTAATCATCATAATTAAAATGTCATATGTATCAAAAAAATATTTTCTTTCTAAAAGTGAAAGAAAAACACAAGATAATTTGGAATTGCCATTAGTTTTAAAAGCATTTAAAAAATTTATATTAATAGTCTTGAATTCCACTCCAAAATATCATTGGCAGAATGTCAGAATCACATGTAGATGTTTTAAAAAATGCACTGGATATCAACAAATAAGATTTGCACTGGAGAGGCTTCACAGTATCTTACGAATACCCCTAGAACACAGCTTAAATGCTCAATTGTGACTTCATTAACAATAGTCAACACTGTACAGAAGTATCAGATAAGTATTACTTTCCAAACTATTATACAGTCGATCCCCCTACAACACTGTTGATAATTCCATTTTATATGAATTCCATGTTGTACGAGTCACTTAGATTTTACAAATACATGAGCCGTTCACAGCCCAGCACACGTATTTGTAAAATCTAAGTGACTTGTACAACATGGAATTCATATAAAATGGAATTATCAACAGTGCTGTAGGGGGGGTTGACTGTATATAACTGAGGGAAGTTCAAAAAATGATTCCCCAGATTTTTAATAGTTAGACTCTGAACCTTGAAACATTGAGAAATGCAAAAAAAATTCAGGAGTAATTTCTGTTTATATGGATATTAGTGTGTGGGTGGTGGACAGAGGGCACAGTTTTGTTCACCCTCTTTGAAGCTTAATAACTCCTATGCTTTTTGTCAAAAATTTCTGAAATCTTGCAGGGAGATTTGTTTATTATGGGGATTGATAGTATTAAACTTTGGTGATTAAAGATCAAGGGGGTGAGGAGATAATGGGATCGTGTGTATCTCCAGTAGAGTTGGACCTAATGATGGTTTTACCTGTTACAGCATTTACAATTTTTTATACAACCCATCTCTACCCTGAAAATTAAGCTTTTTTCCATTTTACAATAGTTAAAAATATAAAAAGTTTTAATAAAATATCATAGCAGATGGTGCCACCAAATTTTGGCAAAAAAGTTAAGCAACTTGTTGCTGGATTTTTAAAAAATGTATAGCAATTTATTTCTTGTTTTTCTTATAAATTTTTTTTTCTAACAAATCTCTCTATTGCTTTATGTTATTTACTATGCTGTATTGTAAACATAATGTTTATGGTATAGCTTACAAACTGTATGCTACTGCATATATATATATATATATAATATATAATAACTACACTCAAGTGTTGTGGTGTTACCAATATCAACTTTTAGCATATGAGAATGTTTGCTATGCTAGTACTTTCAGTAGCATAAAGTTACCATCATCAGGCAAATATCAAATACAACAGCTATCGAATTTTAAGTTTTCAAACAATATTTGAAATTAAATATAGCACGTGGATGGAATATAAAATGAATCTGAATTAAAACAATGTTTTAAAAATATAAATGGCAATAACAAGTAGCGTAATTTTTCCAAGATTACATAGCACACAATAGGAAAAGCAAACCTGTTTATGCAAAAAAAGAATTAAAACTGTAGATTGAATTGTTTGAATAATGTTACCCATAATTGTGAGATTTGAAGGGTTGGGGTGTTGCAGGGTGTTATAGCTGTTATGTAGAGGCTCTCCGAAATAAATAATTCTTTCTGATTATTGCACCATTTGAGTAATTTTGTTTTGGCCTAGAGTGGCTTATAATTTTGGTCAAGCACTTTTTTTGCTAATTCTGTTGATGGTTTACTGTTTCTGATGTCTTCCTGATGTTCTAAGATGTGAGAATTTAACATTCTGGCCATGGCCTCTATATAGCTAGTTTCTTCTTTTGACAGAGCATGTTTTAACGGAATTTGAACCCAGATTTTTCATTAAATTGAAACATATCTCTATTGTTTCATAATAGTCTTCTTAGGGTTGTTGTGGTGTTATTGGTAAAACAAAACCAATCTTTCTAAAAAGATGTAGAGAGATAGGGTCTAAATACAGTATTGGAAGATGAGCTATTTTTAGATTCTCATTGTTACTAAAAAATGACTGCAAAAAAAGCTTATTTTTTACTCAATTTCAAAGATAATGAAATTTAGAGGGAGACTATCCAGCTTTTTGCTCTTTTAATGATTAGTAATTCATCTACTAGTGTTTGGGTGCATGGGAAGGGAGAAGGAATGTCCTCTGTATAAGGGAAGATATAGAAGAATTTACGAAGTTTAACAGTTGGAAGGCTGTAGCAGGAATAATTTGTGGTGCTTTGTTGTTTCTATGATGGACAGAAAATAAAAGATCAAGAGACATATGAATTTCTAGATCTAGGAATGAAATTCTGGCATTTTGTTCTTCCTCTACAGTGAACTTGATCAAAGGAAAAACAGAGGCCTGATTATTAATAAACAACATATACTGCATATATGTTGTTTGTTAATTAATAATCATATGAAGATCAGAAAGCAATGCTTTAAGAAATTTAAATTCAATATAATAGTGTTTAATTGTTTATATATATATATGTGTGTGTGTGGAAAGTGGAACGCAGATGAGAGGAGATGAAGGAGGTCGGTACAGGGAGTCGAGTAGAGGGAAGATGACAATTAAAAAAAAAAGGGAAGAGAGAACATCACTAGAGAAGCCAGACAATTGTTGAAGAAAAAAGCGTGAAAAGACGGAAGATGAAAAAGAAATCCTATATTTGTTTTTATAATAATCATAATATTTTAATGTAATTTATATATTTATATTTTTTAAAATGTTCTTGTTATCAAAATCTTTCTTATCTTAATTAAAGTTTTTCAAAGACAAAAGAAGTCATATACTGTATATATACTTTGTTACTTACATATTAACTTTTTGTTGTGTTTTAGATTTGTTTTAGGAAATTGCTTGGAATTCTGGATTACGTTGTAATAAATTGTAATTTTTTGATTTAAAATAACAGAAAATAGACTCTCAGATAATTTTTTTATGTAAAATATCTAATTTTTAAGAACAGACTACTGACATTAACGTGCATCTACGATGTCAGTATATGATTAATATCCCTGTAAGGCAAATACAACAAAACACCACAGGTAACAGATAAACTGAACTTTTTCTAATAAACAGCATTATGTCTAAACTTTTTCATCTTGTTGCTACACTGCTTATTTTTATACCAGATTTACTGAGACAGTCAATTATTATTAAAATATCCAAGCTTTTCTTGCAACTATTATTTTACAGCATCAAAATAACTGTACATCCAGTTTATTGGGTAAATATTAACTCAATTTTATAGTGTGTTATATTAATTAGTGTGCACTATAAAAATGTACACTGTAATCTTGTATTTTACAAATCTGTTTTTCTTTAAGCATTCTAGCATGTGTTCAAGTGCATGCATATTCATAATATCTGCAACTAATATTTAAGGCAACTATTTATTATTTTTATTCTTTGAAAATTAGGTGTAAAACTATTATTCAAAATGAGTATTAATGAATAAATCCAGTGACTTCTTTTTTCATCTTCATTATTTACAAGAATGGGATCAGGTCTATTTTAGTTCTGTGTTAAATAATTAAAATGGCAACGAAATATGTTGAAATATAATAAATGTAGCTAAAAAGTAATTTTATGATTGAAATTGGTAGTTCTAAGAATTATTGGGACTCAAAAAATAGTGTCTTGAGTCCCAAAACAGAAAATAGTTGAGATTCAGAAGCTCTCTTCAAAGTCAAAATAAATTTAAGCAATATAACATTCTTCAAACAAAATATGAATGATATAAATACAGCTGGCTGAATAACTGAGATGATTCTGGGAACATGAGATCAAATCAGGGCAGACTGAACAACCTCAGGAATTTTTTCGAAGACAATCTGATATGTCATGTCCCAACTCTTATCACATGGCCACTCTATTGTGCCACTGTGGGCATGGAAAAAGGCTCTTACTATAGTGCTCACAGAATAGAAAGTGTCAAAATTTTGTAAAGTATAAAATTATAAATTTATAAAAATTTATTTTGAAGAATTATCATTAAAATAGAAAAATTACTGTTATAAGAGTAATATTAAAAAGCATTCTTATTTTCTATACTGGTAGTTTAATAAAAAAATAAATAAATAAGAATTACAACCAATTCTCTCTAATCTTAGAAATTCAAACAATTTAAATATTTTTACTAAATAAAAATGAATATATAAATAAAGTAACTTCTGTATAACATTTGAAATAAACATTATAGAGAATGTTATACTATCCCTTCTCCTATAAAGTGGCAGTGTTTTAAAGCCTTGGTTAGAAGAGCCTTCATGCATATTTCCAACCATGAAGACAAGGCACAAGAATTTTAAGTATATCATCAACATCGCAATGCAACACTGCTACCATCATAGAATCATCAAGTGTTTAATTAACTGCTTTTCCATGATCCAATTCCACACTGTCAACTTACAACACTATTCAACTCTCTATCCACATGTAAATACACTGAAGATAGGTCACACAAGTCAGCAAAATACAAGCAACATTTGAAATGGATTAACCAGGAAATTAACCAGGCAAAACCAGTAACATTTCTGTGGGCTTTAGATGAAACCTTACTGTATACTCCTTGTTGAGGAATTCTAAAAATGCAGCAAAGACAACATTCTTACAGTCATTTACAGCTTTCCAGTCACCTACACTATCTTTGGACAGTAAATAGAATACATTAGTACCCCTACCTAACTGCTCAAACAATGTTTGAAGGAACATATAACCATAATAAAAAAGACGACAATACCACTGCATTAGCCAACCTGGCCACAGAGCATCAGAACCAAGCACATACACACATAGCCCAACTTTTACATTCAGAGAGCAAACATCTCTAAAACAGCTTGAGAAGCTAGAGATTTATAGAGCTTGTAAGAAAAATATGGCCATAACTACAAGGATTGTAAGACCCCCCCAACAGCCTGAAGAGATCTGGTAATTATTTCAACCAACTGCATCATAACCATGTCACCAATCAGAGGATGCTTCTTCCTTTAAAAAGCAAAATTTGATTTACCTATGTTCTGTTTTTGATCTCTAATTTGTAACCCGATGATGATGATGATAGCTGAAAGCTATTGAAAACATTTGTTTTTCTTGTAAACTTTTTATTTTATGCTGGTGTTTTGGTTCTATTTTGTGTTTCTAACATTTATATTATGTAAAAATTATAAATTACATTTTAATCACTTACAGATAAATTGAATGACTTCTGAATTTGTTCCTGTGTTGTTTTATTCCAGTGAGGAAAATATTTATTTAACTGACGTACAATAAATGGTGAATCTTTTCCTGCTTTCATTAATTGCATGATTTCCTGTAAAAATATTCTATATATTATCTACAAATTCATAAATCTTTATAAAAGTAAATAAATGCATAAAATTATTTTACCAATAATTTCAATCTGGTAATTATATTTATAAACATTTTGAAAGATATGAAACGATTCTGTTTATATAAATCTTCTAACAAATCCGCTATCAAAATGCTAAAATTGTTATTCCACATTATTTCTTGTTTCTTTTGAATATAATTATGAAGCATTTCTTGAAAACATTCAACAAGAGTTACAAACATGAAAGCTGGATTGATAGATATTTCAGAAATTTCCTTCCATTTCAGTAGGGTCTCAATACCTCTTCTAAAAATAGCTGCAAGTTTTAAAAATAAAAAAATTATCAATAAAAAAGCACTTTTAATATTAAAATGAAAATTTTTAAATTATAATAATTACAACTTTCTGTAAATACATACATATATTAAAATTTTTTTATTTTAAATTTAAATCTTCACTCAACCATAAATGAATTTAGTATTTCAACAATTATTAATTATTAAGTAAACTATCTATAAAATGAGATATAAATTAACAGATATTTTATAATTTTACACTACGAAAACTTCAAGATATGTAATTAAAAGCATTTAAACTCATTTATTGTATTTCAAATTGGCAGTGAATGTCCTATAATAAACTATTAAGAGTAAGCTTGTATAATTACACTGAAAATTTGTAATAAAATTTACTAAACTATTCAACTGTTTTAGAACAGACACAATGCCACTGAAACAATGGTGGTTATAATTAAACTGACCCCTCTAGAGCCTGTTCTGCTTATCAGATTTTGATGAAACTTGGTATAAACATTATATAAACTGCAGAGAAGAGATTTCTTCAATAAAAAAAAAATCACTGCCAGATAGCACTTTTCATGAAATCCTTATGCAAAGTAGGCAAACTACTTAAAAGGACTACATTCAAAGCCTAAAATCATTCTGACACCTTTATGTTATTGTTATTCATGACCTTACAGAAGAAAGACAGAGCTTTGTTGGTTAAACTGTTTTATCAGAATGGCAGCAACAACTTAGCTGTGCTGTAAGAATACTGACATTTTAAAAGGATTGCAAAAATGACCCATGTCAAAAAATGGTTTGAAAAATTTGAAAAGACTGGAAACTTGGGTGTGCTGCTAGGAAGAGGACAGAAAGAAATTGTCAAAGAAGTTGCTGTTGCTGTGGTTGACAGAGCCTCCAGTTCACAATATTCAACAACAAATGCTCGACCAATGTCTGGTTGTAGATATTCCTGTTTATGGATGAGGGATTAGGACTCTGCCTGAATTGAAAGACAGCATTACATTCCATGTTGCTAAAATTTCTGGAGACTTTCTTCATGCTACCATTGAACATGCTGTAATGCATGTTCAATGGTAGCATGTGTTGAACTTTGAACATGTAATTAATGTCAATGGAGCATGTGTTGAATACATTCTGTGATTGAATAAAGTTTAATGTTTCTGACTTGTTATTGTCCTTCTTATTGTCCCTCCATAATATTTTTATCAACAGTCACAACTTTTTTATTTTCACAGCATAATATTGTATTATACACACAAGCATCCATTTTGTTTTACAAGTGTAGCGGACATAAAAGCTGCTTTATCTCTGCTGCAGCAAATGTTTAGAAACAGTTTGCTACATTACAGTGCTTCATTTAGAGATGCTTTGCTGTGTAGTGATTGAGCAGAGCTGTATAAAGAAACACGACCTAAGTGCCAGCTCTTTTTGTCAAGCATCACGCTGATCCCCCACACTGAGCATCATGTTTGATCAGTGGACAGCCCAGTACACATTTCCGGTACTCTGACAGCAGACTAGTACACAAATTATGCTTTGGCCACTGGTGCAGGCTGTATCCAAGGTGGTGTTCCAGAAAGACAATGCCTGACTATCACCAGCCCAAATGGAACGCACATCCTTCCCTGGCCAGCAGCCTCACTGGATCTCTCTCCCTTGTACATCTGCCAGGGCTGCGAAGTCGGTAAAAAAACACTGGACTCTGACTCCTGATAATTTTAGTAGGCGGACTCCGACAAAATTAAATACCGAGTCATTTTATGGGGGGAAGATGCTCATAGGGGTATCCTACTCTGAACTCTAAAAGGAGCTCTGGGTATTTACCCAAATACTTTTATATGTAGGCTGTTTTTCAAGTTCCGATGGTCCATAAAACAAAAACAAGTGTAAATAACAAAATGAATTTATTACCAAAAGTTAGGTACAAGCATTGTTATTTTTCAACATAATCACCATAAAGATTGAGGAATTTGTTATGTCTGTGGACAAGCTTTTCCATTCCCTTGTCGTAGAATGTTGCCGCCAATGACTCGAGATGGACCCTGATGTTGTTTTGATATCATTAGTCTTGAACCTCTGCCCTCCTAGCCACTTTTCCTGTTCGAGAAGGAGGTGGAAATCGCTCAGCATTAAATCAGGGCTATACACTGGGTGTTTAAAGGTGTTGAAGACTCCCACCTCTTTCTTGAACTGAAAACGTGGCTAGCAGGGCAGTGGTTTGAGACTAATGCATTAATGATTATCTTCAAAACAACGTTGTTAAGGCCATCTCAATTCACTGGAGGCAACATTCTATGACAAGAGGATGGAAAAAGCTTGTCCACAGATATGACAAATGCTTCAATCTTCACAGTGATTATATCAAAAAATAACAATGTTTGTACCCAACTTTTGGTAATAAATTCATTTTGTTATTTACACTTTGCTTTGTTTTATGGACCATCGGAGCTTGAAAAGAAACCACCCTTGTAGTTAGTATTTTTAATATTTATTTGTATAAAAAAATTAATTTTTAACAAATATTTAATAAGAGGCGAAAGCGGGCGATAAAATTCTACATCTACATATATTGAACAGCATTTGCACTTCAATCCCTTGTTCAGAAAAGAAAAATATGAACTGTGATCAATTAGTCTGGCTCATTCAGAAAAATAGAGCACTTATTTAGAGCAGGGAAATAAAGGAATGATCCAAAATATTTAAATTCAATTGGGTCAAAATAATTTTACTACTAAACAAAAATACTACAAAGAACACTACATATTTAATAAATTAAATTGACGTATTTTGTATTTAAAATAAATGAATTATTACAAAATATAAAAGGATTTTTAAAAATTAATAAATATAATTTTTCTTTNAAAATACAAAGAGATTTTTAAAAATTAATAAATATATAATAATTTTTCTTTCATTTAAATAAAAAAACTACAGTAAATTTAAAATGCGGGAGTGGAGTCGACACATTTTTTCCGACTCCGACTCCTCTGGCCAGAAATTCCTCCCGACTCCGACTCCACAGCCCTGTGCAGGACCTTATCTGATGTGAGGTGCACTGGTCCACAGCCACATACTGTAGATGACATGCATGTCGCAGTGAATGCAGCTTGGCAAGGGATACCTCAGGCAACCATTAATTGCCTCAATGATATGCCTCACAATGTAGGCATATCATTGAGTGGTCCATATAGCTGCCCATGGGGCCATACCGAATAAACAGCTGTCTGTACCATATTTTTGTTTGTTCTTTTAATCATTTGCATATCTAAGTCACTATATTGGTCCTGCAATGTGCATGTGGTTATGTGCATTCATTTGTTCGTGGTGTTGAGATTTCACTTTTGAGGAGTGTAAAAAATAAAATAAAAATCACTTGTTGTTCTTTTTTGTTTATATTGTTTTTCAGATTTTCTTCACAAATTATACTTTTTAGATTATTATTAAAAAATAATACAGCTGTCCCTTGATAGCCCAATATTTTGTAATCCGGCATGCTCAGTAGTCCGATGCACCTCCCGTCAAGGTACCTGTCCCCGTTACGTGTCTGCTTGCACAGAAGCACGTTGCGATGTGAATCTCCCCATCCAATTCTTACACGATGACACACATTTCATGTGTTTTCTGTGAGCAGTTCTGTTTGAACAGTTGGAGTAGGGAATATTGTAGGCTACTGCCAGCAAAACAATGCCAAATATGTAATCACTTTCGGTAATCTGGACACTTTTGGTAATCCGACACCCCTTTGGTCACATACCTGTTGGATTATCAAGGGACAGCTGTACTATAAATCATACCAAAACAATTTAAGAAAATAAACAGTAAAAGAGGGCCTTCTGAGAGTCTAAAATGCATTCTGGAAAATATTGTATTTTAATAAAGGCAAATGTGTGATGTATTCAAATAATTAGTTATTAATAACTAGTAATAAACTTATATTCATAATTGTAACCAGGAAAAACTTACTTATATCTTTTTTTTAGAATGAAAAGTAAACTTAGGCCGATTGACTTCTGACCTGTAGACAGGACAGAGGAGAAATGAACACTGTTATGTACAGTTAAGGCCAAACAACACACATAGCAACAGCATTCCCTGAAAATTCTACACGTTCCCCAAACTAAAGAAGCAATTAAATCCAGTCTGACGAAGATATCCAAAAAGTCAAGTGCTCATTATTTCTTAGGACTATCTTACTACAGTCAAGACTTCAATTCCTCGATATACTGCAACAATAAATGCTTCAACAGAAAAGCAATTACATCAAAAAACTAATTAAATACATTTCACGTTTCCTCGTTGTAACTCGTATACATTCAAAATAAAGAAAAAGAGGGATAAATAACCCAAACTAGACATAACTAGTAATAAACCAGCAAAAATAAAAGAAATAAAATGGAAACAAACATTTTCTTCCGTTTTAAAAAGTCTCCTCGGGTTTAAAGAACACAGATATAAACAAATGCTTTTACTTTAAAAAACAGAACAGAAACTAGAAGTCATATATGTGGCAAAACACGTGCACGTCTACCACAGCATATTTTGTCGTACACAATTTTTAAGTTTCCATTCTATTTTTTAAAATAACGGCAATCATTTATATCTTCATTCTTTGAACTCAAGGGCGACCGTCTAAAATGAAAGAACACATTCGTTTTTGTTTTATTTTTGCCGGTTTATCGATAGTTATGTATAGTCGAGGTTATTTATATTAATTTATACCGGTAGTTTTGTAGAGATTGAAAAAAAAGGAAACATTACTATTTTACTTTCCTGACATATGGCGATTACTAGCCTTCTTAACGTGCCTTATCCGGTCCCCAAACGTTGGCGATCACTACGGAGAATGCCTCACGATCTTCCACCAGTCTAAAGAGATCTCCAACTCTTTGTATACCAGTCCATTCTTCGATGTTCTTTAGCCACGACGTCCACCTTCTACCAGTAACCCGTTTCCCTTCAATCTTTCTTTTTGGTATCAGCCGGAGAAGGTGGTATTTTTCTCCGCGTAACACACGGCCAAGGTAGGCAATTTTGCGACACTTTACGTTAGCGATTAGTGATCTCTTACAATTTGCTCGTCGTAAGACTTTGTCGTTTCTCCTCGAGACAGTCCATCGCATTCGAAGCATCCTACGGAGGATCCACATTTCAAAAGCCTCCAGCCAGTTTATTGCGTTCTTTTTTAGAGTCCAACTTTCGACTCCATATAATAGAACCGACCAGACATGGCATTTCGCCATCCGTCGTCTTAGTCCGAGATTTAGATTGTCGTTGCAAAAGAGAGCGCTCATTTTTTTAAAGTAAGCACGAGCCGTTTCAATTTGGCATTTAATTTCTATACGATTACTATTAATTATCATAATTTCTCACACGAATATTAATTAGTTAATATCGTATAATTTAAATAAATTACACAATACTATATTAACTATAATAATAAATATATCACATTTATATTTCAAAACTGAAATGTAAATGTGATATATGTTTGCATGCAGCAGTTGTACACAATGCTGCATGTAAATTTCACCGTTTACTCTTGATTACACGCGAATATTAATCAGTTTCCTCAATTGTCGTAAGTTACGTAGCATTAAATCGTTAATATGTCAATTTCATTTAAAACGAATACATTAGAAAGACACAAAGAGCACGAACCTTTAATAACCTTTTCCATCCGGTGTTTACAGGCGTGTTCTAAAATCCACTGTTTTACCATATCCAACGAATCTCTCCCTTTGCTACAATTCATATTCCTTAATAATTAGTTTTGTACAAGTTTTGACAATTTCAACCGCTATATTTCGATCTTCCTCGCATTCGCCATATTGCTAACAGACTAATTTAAAAATTTCCCCGTCAGTGGAATAAAATATCCCTAAATTTCCCTATTTCTGTTTAAATCATTTTTAAAAAAATTAATTCCGAGTTTTTTAATATATACACATATACGTGTAGTATTAGTGACGTACTATTAGAGTTATATGTAATAAATAACCATTTTCGACTATTATGCAGATTGGCCACCGACTGCAAGCGGAAGAACCACGTCGAGAAAAACAGTGGAAATGAATGCATTAGCCGCTAGAGGCGCTTCGAACGTTTGGGATCCTTAGTCACTGTCTTTTATTAATTAATGCATTTAGTTGTTAATATTTGATCGTTAAGGCATTTAGTTATTTTGGTTTTACTCATTTAGTCATTAGCAAACGTGTCAACGTGCTTTGTTCCCGGGTGCAATTCCAAATATTCTAGTGAAAAAGACGACAAAAGGCGTTTTTTAAGAGTGCTGGAAAACGTTGGAGAAGATTCGTTCCACGCGAAGATAAGAAATTAAACTCAAAGGCTGGGGTATATGTAACCAGCATTTTGAGGGTCAATTGTTAATAAAATCATTTGGTCACGCAATCGATGGCCAATTAGTGCAGATTGCACTCACCCACTCCGAATGCTTTTCCGTCTAAATTCCCCAATTGTTTATCATTAAAGTGCCCCGAAAGCGACGATGTCCCCCCGGAGAGAAAAGCTGCATTTGCCTCCAAAAACAAACAATTTGTTTCCTCGTAGAACGCGTGTTTTACAGTAACGAAGTATATATTTGAATTTTGAATTTTTTTTTTTTGTTTTTAACGTGTTAGGTTCATTTTCCTAAATATGTCTAAAACAATGATTGATTTCCCAGCTTTCAAGGAAATACAAGGACAGCGGCACGCCACTGCCGCTTTCCTTGTATTTTCTAAAATATAAATACATATTGCGCGATTATTTTCATATTTTAACGTATTTTGTATTAATTAGAATTAATATTTTATTATAACCGCATTATGTATCTTATTACAAATTTCTATACTACGCGTGAAAAAACAATAAGATTACTATATATATATATATATTCGAATATCAGTGGCGGAACGAATGAATAAATCACGATTTATAACTTAACCCACCGAGAGCAGTTTACTGGTACGTTTTTATGATAGTTCTGTATACAGTACTTGACTGGAGTTTTAAAAAAATCCATTAAAATATTTGATATATTTATTCCGCTCTCCAATTTTGTATTACTTACGGATTTCGATGTTAAACCAGTGATGTTACGATTTCGTATGTCCCACTATAAAGGGATGCAGAAAAAAACTTGCGCAATTCTTGTACAATGTTAAAAAATTAACCGTTACTTTGGTAGCATCACTTACAACTAAATTTAATGAATGAGAGAGATGCACGAGATAGGGAAAAAGCTCTAGAATTTACTTTCCTTAAATCTACAATTTATGTATTGTCATAAAAATTTGTCCTTCCACTTTTTTCCCGAGACTACAAATATTCGAGTACAAAGTAAGTGGTTTCGACTTATTTCTACTTAAGTAGTAGTTAAATAATTAAGAGATTAGGGAATTGGGGACATAAATAAAACCTTACTTTAGGAAAGAGCAGGAATTTTACTTAAACAAAGGCTTAACCGAATCAATCTCTAGCCGAGTGCAGTGGGGACTGATTTCTTCGTAATATTAGATGTAATAAAGACAAATTTTCCAGTTCAGTGAGAGTGACCGAAAAGTTGTAAATTTTGGAAATTTCCGTGGGCACCTGGTCCTAAAACGAATCAAGTTTAACGTAATATGTTAAACTTAATAGTCATACCTCAAAGAACGCGACGGGGTCGTTGTAAATTTTAAATGTTTCCCCGGGGAACCCCCCGCCGAGCAAAGGGGCTCGGATGCATTACAGATTGTAGGCGACAAGCATAAACTTATTCTTTCTTTCTTTCTTCACTTCATTTCACTTTAACCTTTTGATAGAGGAGTGCTGCGGCTCCTTTCTTTCTTTCTTATCTTATTTAATATGGAGACTCTAGCCTGTTGGCTTTTTCTCCGAATCACTCCGCTTAGAAATTAGGTAAAGCAGTTGGTGCGGTGAACAAAACGCTCCAAGATTTCGATATGCTGGCGAGGAGGAAGGTCGGTATGAGGCCAGTATATTGGAGTTAATGTACTAGATTTCCTTCCGAAATTACGTTCCGTCTTTATCTCGCCATCCAGTAACGAAGTCGGCATTCAAATTTCTATTAATACAGTATTTAAAAGCTCATTTTCAAACTGGCTTTTCAATCCGCAATTTTTTTATTTCAACAAAATTTCTTGTATCCCCGAACACTGGTGTCGCTTTCTTCTTTGCCCTTCTTTCACTTATCGTATTTACATTTGAACGAAATGCCGAGTGTCATCGGGCTGCGATTTGAAAAGATTGTAAACTTATAAATTCCCACTGTCGTCGTCTGTCCGGCTGTCTTCCATTAATCTCGAGAAAGAACTTAGATGGACAAAAGACGAGATTAGATATGAAAATCCCGAGGGAACGAAGCCCCGAATAAATATACAAGAACTTCCGATGCAAACTGGAAGTCACGTTATTTCAGTTCAAAATTTTTTTCCGAAAGGTGTTAGCTAGGTGACAGGCACGACTTGGTTGTTAAAGGAAAAGTATGATGTGCAAGGACAAGCCACTGCTAATTTGACATATTTTAAATTAAGTAAATTTGAAATATAATTAAAAATTGCAGCCCGGCAGTTTACAGTTTTCGACCATCCCTCTTTTAGTCTATAAATGATAAAATTGTTTTGTAGCATATAGTTAAGAATTTTTTTTAAACAAAGATGTAAAATTTTAAAATAACTTACCAAAGCACAATCTCCGACATCAATGGCTTTTGCGTAACATTGTTCTTTTATTTTTATACACGACGTGATTCCATACATCGTGTATTAACGTTCCGCTATTCAAATTAATTAAGTTATCATTATTTTTAATCGTTATGTGTTCTGTAAATTTCCGTAGATAAAGTAGAAATAAAATTTTAATACTGTATTATGTTTATTAATTGTACAATTATTTTACTACTATGTATAAAGCAAGGTGATTGAGTATTTTTAAATTCAATCTCGAACGGATCACCGGTGTTCTCTGCGCACTTAATGTTCTGTTAATTAATTAACTGGTCTGCCGTGTTATTCTGTAATCCGAGTACGTGTACTATACACAAATTAATAAAAATAATAATAAAGCAAATGAAAGTAATGTGAATTTCTTACTGTGTTCCTCTTAGCTACCAGGGGGTGTTTTTTTCTTGCTTTCTGTTTGCTGCGCTTCACCATGTTCTTTGGCACAGAAGGCTTGTGCTGTTCTTTCTGTAATTGTTTGTTTATTAGACACAGTTTCAGTTAAAGCAATGTACCATTGTATATTCTTCCATTACTTTTAACATACACATCTTTGAAAGACGAGTAAATAATTGAAATTTATCCATAGGCTACTGATTTTCCATCAGTAGCCTATAAATGAAAGATCTGACAAGTGAGTCTGATTAACTTACTGCATGGAGTTTTGCTAATTATTTGCCCATATCTAACAACCGAATGGGTGCTAGTTTTTCATAGAAAGCCGTTTTAAGAGTCGCCTCGTATTGCAAAATTACAATGTTTTTAACCTTTTTATAATAATGGCATTCCAACCTGGTAGTTTTTCTCTCGCGCCATCCGTACTCTTTTGTTAATGTAGTTATTGCGTTTTTCGTACTTTTAGTAAGAAATGTAATAAAGATGATCGACACAGTATGTCGCGGCACCCACTTACTTATCAAACGGACAGTAATAATAATCTACTTTAAACATATTGTATACTCATATTGATTAGGTCTAAAAAATGGTGAAAAAAGGCAACGCAACACTTGGCAGATCGGCTTAGGGAGAGCGCTTCCCGAAGGACTTTCCAAGGAAAATTGGCTCCTATTTATATGTTAGACACATGAAAAATTCAGGAAAGTTCACGTTCACTCGTCCACTGGTAAGCATTGATAAACGAGGCAAACATTGTTATAAAAATAGTTTGGAAAGCGATAGAATGGGACGAATGTCTTTAAGAGAGACGAATATCATACGTATTCCTTTATTAATGTAATCTCTATATACAGTCGTACCGGTATATTACTCCAAAGGTTTAATTAATCCATTTTTACATTCACAGCGTGAAAGCATCCAATTCTTCATTAATCATAATGAAAAAATACAGTTTGAAATACTAGTGAAAAAGATAAATTGAAAATTATAAAGCAAAATATTTTATGAAAGAAATAAGAAATTTACGGTTTTTGGTATCCCTGTTGTCAGAAGAATTAAAAAAGCAAAAGCAATGATGGTTACGAATCCCGCATATACGTATGCAAGTTTTTCGATCATCATTCTTTCGCCGTACACGCCAACATAGAAAGTTTCTGCAGTAAGGGCCAACTGAAACGTGTAGTAAACTGCTATCATTGGATTAATCATTTCGTCTAAGTCGAAAAGAATGTCACAATATTGCGCATGTTTTTCTATCAAAAAACGTAAATCTAACGATTCACCATCTTCAATGGCATTTTCTATCATTTCACATAACGAGGACATGTTCTCGTGAAGCGTGCTGCCTATATCTAAGATGTTCGGAGTTACGGTTAAGAATCCAAGTCCGTAAAACATGTCGAATGGCGCTAGAATTAAATACAATACAAGAATATGTACATTCTCTTCATTTACAAGAGATCCAAACATTATCGTGTCGATTGCAAATATCATGACGAAGGTGGATGTCAGCATCCAAATGTTACATTTACTTAATTTGTAATGAAGGAATGCGGAACTTTCTTTGAAATTATCCAAGTACATTTTACACTTATCCAGAATTTGATTTGTATAGATTCTTGTATTTTCGCTGAGAACAACTTCAAATTGTAAAGAAATGGATATAGTAAAAGATAAGATTAAAAAGCAACGAAGAACAAAATCCACACCGAAAAGACGGTGGATGCCTCCTGTGAACCGATCTCGTTGTTCGTCTTGTAACAAGATAAACAAAAGAATAACGACAAGTAATAAATAAAACTTTTACCAGCCATTGATATATTTTATATATAAAGTTAACCTTTTCGTGTTTTAAAGGTACATAAACTCCAAAAATCAAAAAAATGTTTCTAGTTGGTATTATTCTACATAATAAACAGAAACAATCGGGAGGATGATTCGCAGGATTACGAATCATTTTCGAAACTTTTCTATTTTTAAAACGTCTTTGAATATCTGCATAAAAATTTTATCGTTATATAAAATTTATAAAAAAAAAATTATAAATTTTATATAACATTTCATTTTATGAACTTAAATCTAAATATATAAAATTACTTGTCCTGACTGACTGAATGACTGACTGACTGGGTGATTCATCATCGCCCAGAGCAAACGGCTGAACCTAAAGAGGTGAAATTTGGTACACAGTTAGGGTACGTCATGAAAACGCACACTAAGAAGGGATTTTTCGAAATTCCCCCGCGGGGGGAGAG